CTACCACTACCACTACCACTACCACTACCACTACCACTACCACTACCTACTACTACATACTACTACATACTACTACATACTACTACACACTACTACTACTACTACTACTACTACTACGACTACGACGACTACTACTACTCCTACTACTGCTACCTACTACTACCTACTACTACATTCTACTACATACTACTACTACTACTACTACGACTACGACTACGACTACTACTACTACTACTACTACATACTACTACTACTACATACTACTACTACATACTACATACTACATACTACTACATACTACATACTACTACATACTACATACTACATACTACTACTACTGCTACTGCTACTGCTACTGCTACCACTACTACCACCACCACCACTACTACTACTATTACTACTACTACATACGACGACGACTACTACTACATACGACTACATACGCTACCACTACTACATACGATGACTACTGCTACTACTATACTACTACTGCATACTACTACTACTACTACTACTACTACTACTACCTACTACCTACTACCTACTACCTACTACCTACTACCTACTACCTACTACCTACTACCTACTACCTACTACTACCACTACGACGACTACTACTACTATTACTACTACTACTACTACTACATACGACTACCACTACTACTACTACTACTACTAGTAGTACTAGTACTAGTACTAGTACTAGTACTAGTACTAGTACTACTACTACTACTACTCCTGCTACTGCTACTACTACTACTAATCAGCTTTAGTTCCAGTCAGCTCTAGCTTTAGTTAGCTCTAACTCCAGTTAGGTCTAGCTTTAGTCAGCTCCAACTCCAGTCAGCTCTAGCTTTAGTTTGCTCTAACTCCAGTCAGCTCTAGCTTTAGTTAGTTGTAGTTACATTCAGCTCTTCAACGTGCATTTTGGAAGGAAGTCTCGTACAATTTTGTTTTCAACAGCTCTAGCTCTAGTTAGCTCTAGTTCCAGTCAGCTCTTCAACATGCATTTTGGAAGGAAGTCTCGGAGAATGGCTTCGTTTTGCTGGTGTTCAGCATGCATTTTGGAAGGAAGTCGCATACAAAATGCATTTTTCAACAGCTCTAGCTCTAGTTAGCTCTAGCTCCAGTCAGCTCTTCAACATGCATTTTGGAAGGAAGTCTCGCAGTATTGCTTCGTTTTGCAGGTGTTCAACATGCACTTTGGAAGGAAGTCTCGTACAAAATGCGTTTTCGCGAGATAGCGGACGCACGAAATGCGGCGTTTTTCAATACCAAGGTGGCTCAGAACCTGGCAAGTCAAGCTCTGCGGAACGACGGTTGCGGAACGTCCTCGCGTCATTCTCGGATCATGTTCGAATCGTCCGTCCATTGTAACTAGAGTTTTCACCTGTTTCTTGTGTACGTGCTGTTGATGGAATTCCATTGCGTTTTGCAACTCCTGGATGGTTTCCAGGAAGTCTCGCAGAATGGCTTCGTTTTGCTGGTGTTCAGCATGCATTTTGGAAGGAAGTCGCATACAAAATGCGTTTTTCAACAGCTCTAGCTCTAGTCAGCTCTGGTTCCAGTCAGCTCTTCAACATGCATTTTGGAAGGAAGTCTCGCAGTATTGCTTCGTTTTGCAGGTGTTCAACATGCACTTTGGAAGGAAGTCTCGTACAAAATGCGTTTTCGAGAGATAGCGGACGCACGAAATGCGGTGTTTTTCAATACCAAGGTGGCTCAGAACCTGGCAAGTCAAGCTCTGCGGAACGACGGTTGCGGAACGTCCTCGCGTCATTCTCGGATCATGTTCGAATCGTCCCTCCATTGTAACTAGAGTTTTCGCTTGTTTCTTGGGTACGTGCTGTTGATGGAATTTCATTGCGTTTTGGAACTCCTGGATGGTTTCCGCGCTGCAATTGTGACTGCAAGTGTTGCTGGTGGATGAGCTGCCGCTGGAATTTCATTGTGTTTTGCAGCTTCAGGATCTTTCCCGCAATGTAAATGGCACTTTCATCTCTGGTTGGATCATGTCTTCCAGTTACAGAATTGCTTCGTTTTCATGTGTAACATGCATTTTGGAAGGAAGTCTCGTACAAAATGCATACTTCTGTGTTACGGACTTTCATCAGCTCTAGCTCTAGTTAGCTCTAGCTCTAGAGCTAAAGCGGGATGGAAGGATGTCTCGTACATTCCGAGTGTGCAAGTAACATTCCGAGTGCAAGTTGTGGACCTGGTTGTCAGATAGTGAGATTCCTTCCAAAGGGTGACGCTGTCGAAAAACGAAGCCTTCTACATTCCGCGGCTGTTTTGTTTGCTTTACGTCGAACCCAACACTGGTTGCAGATGATTTGCTTTGTTAACAGGTCAGTTTGTACTTATGGTTTGAATTTTTGGCACAGTTCATACTTACAGTCTTTGGTTGCATTCATTGTTAAGACTTCTGGTTGCGCATGTATGACAGGTTGTACACGCAAATTCGGAGTCCTGTGTAACTACATTCACTCCGACGTGCGGTGGTGTGACCCGCATGCACAGTGCCAGAGCGACTACGCCGTTGTGGGCTGCTTGCATGACGCCATCGTCGCGGGCCGGGAAAAAAGGGGGTCCGCAGGGCATGTGCGAACGGACACTCCTATACTATAGGCCAAATTGTGTTTCTAAGAAACTTCCGCCGCCGGCTTGCTTTATTGCTTGTGCTTGTTACTAGTGTGTATAAAATGTTTGCTTTGCTTGCATCAATCGGCAGGGCAGAGCACCTCAGAATGGCCAGAGCCTTGGAAAGGAGCGGAAGAGCCTGACATACAGAATGCAGCGCAGGCTACAGCCACAGTCACACTCCTGCCAGCAGCAAATCTTGGCCGGCTCGTTTCTTAGCCGGACCCAACGTTCTCGTCAGAAATTATATAGAGGAGTTTTTCCACATCATATTACAATTTTTGCTTGCCACATTGTTGCTTGGGGCTTGTTTTTCACGTTACCTCCAAGTGGAACTCAACAGGGGAAGCCAAGTATCCGTACATATGTCACGGAACGTCTACTGAGCTGCGTCCTCAGGTCACTTATGCAAGGCACCTGTCAAACCAGTTACTCAATTTGTCAGCAACCGATGCCGCGGTGACAGCGGGTGCAGGGTGCCTTCTCCGTATCTTGGATCTCCAGAGGCCAGGAAGACTAGCAAGGCACCTTGCTTGTTTGTCCATGCTTCATTCCCTCAGTCGAGCGTGAAAGTGTAGTTTCAAGGGAAGCGCAGTTGGCCTGGAATGCTTCAAAGTCTATTTATTCAACAATAAGCACTGGGAAACCATTGCAAACAAAGACAAACTGAAGAGAGACCAGCCATGCAGGTTCCTCACTGTTGCTCTCTGTTTTTCAACCTTATGCTGCCTTATGCTCAAGTTCCTTCCAATTGCACTTATTTTGTGGCCTCACATGTGCAACATCCATCCAGAGTACTAGTAGGTAAACCGAAAGTTCAAGACTCTTTCTGCTGGGCCAAGGTGCTCATTCAGATTGTTTTCAAGTGCAGTTCCTGCAAGCAAGATACCAGCTAGTCTAGATTCCGACAAGACATGTTCTCCAAAAGCTCTTGATCTACTGAACAAACCTTCAAAACGATTGTATCCAATAAGTCTAGATCAGATACAAGAGCACAAGCATGCTGATAGAAGAACAAGTGCGGCATGAAGGAGATTGGTCCTTCAACCCTCCCTTATATCAATGTGACGCGCCGTTGTTTTCTTGCTGTTTGTCAGGTGCTTACGCAAGTCTGGCCAAAATTGCAGGCAGCATGGGCCTTTGCTTTGACAGGAAGACAGAAGACACACTGACAAGGTTGAAAAGCGGCGATTTGATTGTGACGTCCAAGGTGCCAAGCTTGAATCGGAGGAGTTCGTGTTGGGACCCGATATTTCCACGAGCAAATTAAGGAGCAAGCTTAGAATTTTCAGGGTATAAGGAGCAGAAGATGGAAGAAAGATGACGAATGTATGTAGATGGATTGGCTTTCCTGATTGCAACCTTCAAAGGTATTCTACGGCCATCAGAACTACTGTCCGCTCGAGGAGAAGTTAATTAGCTCAGAGAAGTGGGGCAGCTGTGTGAGCTTGTTTGCGTTTGTCTTCTGATGCATGGGCTTTGCGATTTGAGCCTGATCAAGGCCCCTGGCACGAATGCTCAACCTGCAGGCCTCAAGCAACCAGGAAGAGCTATGCAGCTGTGCAAGAATGACACTGACAGCAGCACATTTTGGACGTTGAACAGTTTCCATCTTCTACGCTTTAGATTGTCCAACTTTCATGCAAGGAATCGAGGGAGCTGCGTTGCCACATACTGTAGCCAGCCCAGACCTGTGAGGGTGCCCTTGTGATCCCATTATGCACTCTGATGAGACATCGAAACTGATTTAGAACACTATTGGTTCAAGGCAATTCCGAAGAATGTAGTGGCGCTGCATGCCCTTCAAGCTCCAGATGCTGCTTGTCATGCACCACGGACACCAACAAGAAATCCTGAACTTGCCAGATCAAGGTGAAACCAGCGCAGTCGAGGACCGATGCAACCTTGCCTGGAACTCAGTGTGCGATCAGTCAATGAAGGCCGCACCACAGCCCTACTTTGTTTGACCTTCTTAGCCTATCCAGCTGATCAGCTTCTCCCCAGGCTGACAGTTTGGCCTGATTTGCCAGACGACGTGGGGAACCAAGATGCAGAGAACTGTTGCGCGCGGGTGGATCGAATCAATTTATGTTTAATTACGAAAGCCAGCCGATAGGCTAGGCTTGAGCTTTTAGAGCGAACGAAGTGAGTTAAGAGGGTGTGGGGGGGGAGGGTATTGAGGGGGACATTTTGAGAGGGTGAACCCGGAGCTTGGTGGGGGAGAACGTTCCAAAGCGAGGGTCAGAAAAGCAATGAACATGGGTCTGGTGATGCGAGTTATGCAATGGACGCCGAGCAGTGCATCATTAGCATCATTAGCATCATGAAGGGCAGGGCTTTGGAGGCTATTTGGACAATGGGCATTGAGCAATCGAGTGGAGACAGGGACCCACGTACAGAGCAGACCGCAGCCGCATGTAGGATACGAGTTCCCAGGACAACTCGTAACTCGCGAAATCCATAGAGAACCGAAAGTGACATGAGTTCAAGTCCTGGAATTTGGATTGATTTTCAGTGGGGATGCCTGCGAGGTTGACTACATATCCGCATAGGGCTCCTGCCCCCTAGCAAAAACTATACTTGCACCATGTCCTTGGTCGAGTGGATGCTTCTCGTGGCGTCCACACACACACACACACACCGAACGTTTTTCCGGCTTGCCGGTGCAGATAGATAGAAGGATAGATCGATACGTAGATAGATAGATAGATAGATGGATAGATAGATAGATAGATAGATGATAGATAGATAGATAGATAGATAGATAGCTAGATAGATAGATAGATAGATAGATAAATACATTCTACACACTGCTGACTCATGACGCCGCCTTTTTGCTGGCAGCCCTGGCCGAATCCAGTCAGCCTGGGTCCACGGCCCACAGATCTACACACGCAGGTGCCAAAGTCAAGGCCTCTGAGTGAGAAAGGCGCAGAGTTGATAAGAAAGAGAAGAATAAAGAATGTGTTTGGTGGTTTGGATCGAGCCAGAACATGACCCACTCAAGTCCAGGCATGTGCATCGATAGGCGCACAAATCCTCACTCCTTTGCTGCAATCCCCTTCTGCGCCGCGGGATCAACCGTCCGTGTCCCGGCTAAGATGAGCCAGGATGGCAAACACGGACAACCTCTTGGTAGCCACCAATTCATCCTTCTGAACCTCAGGGATCGACTTGAGCAAGAGGGTGGCCATCCTTCTCTCCAGTTTCGCCCACTTCGGGACGTTGAGGCATGCGGGAGCAACTGGTTCATGGCGTACTCTTTCCAAAGGTGGCATGGATTGGTGGTCTTGATACCACTTCTCAACTTCAGCCATCATCTTTTCCCACCATGCATCAGAGGCGACAAGTAGCAGCCAGCCACCAAGCTGCAACTGCGATGTAGAGCCTTGTAGAGCTCCGAGAACAGGAAGTTCACCAACCTGTCTCACAACTTCAACACCCTTGACGGTGCCTTGGGACTCGTGACCTTCAGAAATCTGGCGTTGGAGCGACTTCATGCTTTCAACCAGAAGAGACATGACTTCCATCTGCTGCACCTCTGGCGATGGCCCAGCTCCCCCAAACATAGTCGAGGTCGTGGGTCCCTTTCTTGGTACTTTATCTTCCATAGTACCCTTTGGAACTGTAGGGCTTTTGGACCTGTTTTCTTCTTTGGATCTTGAGCGGCTTCCCTTCCTTCCATACTTGGTGGTGGTACCATAGCCCCTAAGACGCGCCCGTTCACTCTTCCAAATCAAAAATGCCGCTTTTCGACGTGCCGGAGTATGCATTGCAAACTTCAAACACTCCAGATGTAACAAACGCTGACTATGCAGAAGGTCTCGAACTCAGACGGTATTTTCCCTTCGCTAACGCTGATGTCGCCTTCCAACTCCCATAAGATGCATACCTTCCTGCCTGTGACAAACACATGCCACTGCCTTGTGATGATGACCAACGTATCGTATTTCTCTTTCACTAGTTCTTTCACGCCAAACTTATCCCAAAGCCGCCCGGCTTGCTTCTCTGCTCCCTCCATCACCATTACATACGCCCCCCCGCATCCGCGGCGCCGCTGACCCGCAAGCTGCCGACCATGTGTCTTGTGCCGCGACGCCCGCCAGAAAAAGAGACACTCGTCTGGCAGCTGCTGGCTTTCGCCCCCCCTTCTCAGGTGTGAGCTCTACAGTGTACAAAGAACATACACAAGTGCTCGCCCCCGCACGGTTTACCTTTTTATCAGTTTTATCATTATTCTTACTTCTTTCTCAGCTCTGCAACAGCTCTTGTTTGTGCTCACGAGCGATAACGACCCTGAAGGTTTTAGTGTTTATTGCGAATAGCAACAACTCTCTCCCCAGTGGCCCTCCTCCTCTTGCTCACGTTGTCCTCTTGTCCTCGTGTTGTCCCCTTGTTGTCCTTTGCTGGTGTCCAGATGACAACATGGCAGCATGAAGGCGTGACATCACCAACCGCAATCAAAAGGTCCAATGCGAGAAACAATTGCGCGCGCGCAAACCTTGTGTGGCGCCCAGTGGGATGCGCCAGTTTTTGTTCTCTCGGTGTGCTCGTGTTCCAGTTTTTGTTCTCTCGGTGTGCTCGTGCTGTTTTTGTCCTCCTTGTGTGTCCTGCTGCTGTCCCACTGTTTACGAGGCAGGGGCTGAGGCTGCGGCCGCCCACAACAACAACAGTTCTTGCCGACTAGCTGTTTGGAGCCTATGCTGGTATAGTTTTACCAGGGCAGTTGTGTTTTCTCAGGGCATCCCTAGCAACAATTGGCTTTTAATGCGTCCTTTTTGCCCTTGGTTTTGCTCGGTTAGATGATGCTGCAGCATGCTTTCAAAAGATGGGTGGGCGGGGTGATGCCCGAGCTAGTGTGCAGTGAGTCCCCTTGGGAACGAACAGGGTCTTGAGAGCTGTCACACGAAGTGATTCGTGCAGTGTGGAGTGGCAAGTGTGGATTGGAGACTGTTCTCCTAGTCATGATGCAGTTCATTGAGAAGGCTGGAGTGCTGACATATGTTGTGCTTGCCAACAGCGCAATGTTGCCGTTGGGGAACTGCTTTGGCTTGGACGGGGACAGGGGGGCAAGTGGTGACATATGTTGTGATTTCCAGCAACACGATGGTGCCAACAACACGATTCAGCTTGGTAAAGCCTCAAGACACGCGCACACACTTGAGAAGGTTGCTCCGTGGAGCGCGATTTCAGGCTGCTTC